TAGATAAACTGTGTTTCACTACAAAAGCAACAACAAAGAATCATTCTGGGAAGACAAACGCCCCAGAAGACTGGTTTGTTTTATACAGAAATGGCCAGATTTACCCAGGCTTCAGTTCCAGTGTCTGAAAGGATGTAAACTTGTGTCAGTTCTGTTTCTGTATTTTACTTTAGCATAACCCATATTTTCAGTTGCATTATCTATCTGTATGATAAATAATGAAAGCCAATGCATGCGGGATGGGCGATACACCGGTAGACACGATTAACCGGTAGAAATTTGTCAACCAGTAGAGATTTTGGACTATCATTGGTGTGCTACGTGGTCACGAACACTTATTGTTTGCACGCGTTTTTAAGAATTGCAGTTGAAATGCAATCAGCAACGAAAGAGAACTAATTTCGCTATATGTGAGCACTGTCAGAGAGGCACGTGCACGTGAAGACGGTGCTCATAGAGCGCGGGAGTATGAAACTGAGTTATTTCTGCCGCTTTATAGGCCTTGAACGGTTAAATACACACACTTTTATGTGTCAAAATGCCCATCTTTGCAAGTAACCTCTTAAACACAGTAGGTCTTAAGTGAAAGGAAACAGCTGAGAAAAAAAACGTGACAGTATAATGGATCCGGCAGCTCTTAAAGTGACAGCAGTCTAATATTGCTGTCTGTCATTCATGTTAATCAAACAATAAAAGAGAGAAAATCTCTCACTGCTCTTGACTAAATCACTTTTGCAACTTTAATAAGAAGAAATATATATTTAATTTACACAGTGAAGAATATGCAGTGTTTTTATAAATGTTATAACTTTATATAATGTAGCATTTCTTGTTTATTTGTACGACTGTAGTTTTTTGTCCTATTGTTTGTAATTAGTTTCTTATTCTTATTCAATCACTGACAGTTTACTCGTCTTCAGTGAGCTCGAGTTTTTTTAGTTTTTTTATTTAGGCTAGTATTCTTTTTTTTTTTTTGTGATGTTGACACTGGTGACAAAAATGATCAAATTTCTATGATATCAAAATTTTGATATCATAAATAACTTATTTAAAGCAAAACTATCTATATAGTCAATAGTTATATTGTTACCTGTTACATATTGTGCTATAAGATTTTGGTCATATTGCCCACCCCTAGCATGCATACATTTGAGAGACTATATTCTAATAGATGCATACATATTAGTCATGCTTTTTGTAGTTCATCAAAAACTTTCCCTTCTGCTGCTTATTTTACTATTTAAATATATCAGTTCCTTTTCCTAACCCTTGTTAAGTAAGTGCATGCGGACTGCTTTGGGATGTGCATCTTCCATTGTTCCTCTGGTCTGCTCCATATTTTTGAAGTAGCTCCTGCACTTTTTTATTTGTGTGAATCCCTTCTGGCCTGTCGTTTATTTGTCTCCGCTTACCCTTGTTTGTGTTTTTCCCATTCCTTTTTAGACAAAAGTGGTGCAAAGTTTGCACTGGAGCAAAAGTTTAGTAAATCTGGCCCTGGGTTCAGTAAGTATTGAGTGAATTCTCATCCCAGAATGTGGTGATTTATCTTATTGAAATTAATCAAGTTTCATTCTAGAACTGAATTCAAGAGTCTATGATTCTGTGCTTTGTGCTTTGTGTATCTAATCAAAAGTTGGCCAGAAATCAAATTGGCGAACATCACAAAATCTATCTGATCAGTTAGGAGATCTTGATCACATGACATCCTGCTCTCCTCTCTGCTCTCTTTCTCTTTATCATGTCTGAATGTCTCTTCTCCCTCATTTTTCTGTTTTTTCACATGCAGGTCCGCATTTTGTTGCGGTCAACAACAAGAATGAAATTGTCGTGACAGACTTTCATAACCACTCCGTCAAGGTGAGTGATGTTGAAGTCATACTTACAAATTTTCACCTGGTCGACAATAAAAGAACATAAAATTGCACTGAAGGAGGGAACTGAACCATATTTGGAGACCAGAATATCATAGAGACTTATGGGATAGTTCACCCAAAAATGAAATTTCTGTCATAATTTTCTCACTGTCAAGTTGTTCCAAATCTGTATGAGTAACACAAAAAAAAAGATATTTTGAAGAAACAGTTGACGGCTGTCATTGTCTTCTATAGAATTTTTTCCATACTGTGGGGAAGTCAATGGCTACCGTCATCTGTTTGGTCATACCTTCATATATTTGAACAGGTTAATGAAAAAGATGCTCTTAGTAATCTTTTAAGTTGTGTTTTACTTGGTAATCGTGCTTGACTTGACTGACACCTAGTGGTGTGGATGCATCCTTACAGAAAACCAATACATTTCAGTTACTGATGTCTTTGTAAAAATGAATTATTAGCAGTCAGCAATGATTCATTTATTTCATGAGTGAAAGTGTCCTATAATGGTGGTAACAGAGGTAAAGTGAGTAGTATTCGTCTGGTCATGTGATTTCAAAATGGCAGTCCCCATTAGTTGGCCTGCTCCACCCAAAAAAAACAACATTTATATATATTCTTTTTTTTTTTTTTGACTAGATGATTTTAAATATATTATTCATTTCTTATTAGTAAAACTTTTTAATGAGGGGAAAAGTTACAGAATGTATCATTCTATTAAATATTGGTGATTAAAATTGTATCTCCTCAGGTCTACAGTGCAGATGGGGAGTTTTTGTTTAAATTCGGGTCCCATGGAGAGGGAAACGGCCAGTTTAATGCCCCCACAGGGGTAGCTGTTGACGTTAACGGCAACATCATTGTAGCAGACTGGGGCAACAGCAGAATACAAGTAATGAATCCTCTAAACACCCACTTCCTCTTTCCAAGTTCTCCAGGAAACTAGTCACTTTAGAAGCACTTTTTAAGGCCATTTTAATTTTTTTTCCTCAGGTGTTTGACAACTCAGGCTCATTCCTCTCCTACATCAACACAAGTGCTGACCCTCTGTATGGGCCGCAGGGCCTCGCTTTAACCTCCGACGGCCACGTTGTGGTGGCCGATTCTGGTAACCACTGCTTCAAAGTCTACCGATACCTGCAGTAACAGCTCATCACAGTCTGCAGTCATATCAGCGAAATCCTCAGCCAAACCAGAGAGGAAGAATCGAATGAACAGATTGCACTTTTCTTTAATCTATTAATTTTCATGTTCCAAAATTAAGAACTGCTTCTCTAATAAACTGGCAGTGTTGATTGTAAATAACAGAAACCATATCAATAAGCACAGATTCTTATTAGAAATCATGTAAGTTGTGTATAAATACAATTATATATATCGCAAAACTTTTTGTTAATCGCCATCTTCAACCCTTGCAGAAAAGTCAATTATCCCCAAAATACCTTTCTATGACTGCAACAGTTGTATATTTTAATTGTTACACTCTGCATCTGTAAATATAGAAATCTGTGTACATATTATTAATATATTTGGTGTATGTAACGTGTAAATGACACTGGCTTCTTGTATTGTCCTATGACAGCATTTGCCACTGAGATTTCACTATACCTGAGCTATTCGGTGAGCACTTTCAAATCATTACAGTTCATACAGTTCAAATCATTCAGATCAAACATCTGAGCTGATCGTCCCTCAGCACAGGAAGTGATGCGCATCCCTGCTGTGCTCTTTAAAAAATGTAACCACTAAACAAAAGGAGCCAAAAAGGACATATTTTTTCCATTCCAAATTATTTATTTTTCTAAAGCACAAGGCTACTCTACATGTTGAAAAATCCAGCTGAACGAAGAAATGTAAATATAATCAAACCCAAGTATTTCACATATATTGCCTCTGATTTTTAATGTTCTCTAAAAATGATCAGCTATGTGGAATTACAGCTCGTCTGTAAATAATCATACGTTGTGTTCACAGTGTAGCAACCAAATGTTGTCTTTAGTATTATAGTTTATGCTTCATTTGTCTATTTATTTAATGTTTTGTACACATTTTCCTGAACGATTCATTTCGAGGTTGTCCTTCATCACCAGCGAATGATTTCAAAAATCACCTCCCTTTAATTTTGTGGAGTTTTGTCTCTTTGAAGGTTATGTGACACCGAGTCTCCTTAATAGGCTACTCTCTGCGATACTGTACAAGGTTAATGAACGGTGGCTCACAGATGAAACGATTAACGTATATCTTAATATCTGTGCAAAGTACGTTTTTGCATGTTACTGATTTTACTAGCATTGGCATATGGTTTCTGCAGCAGCGAGACACCTGTAATGATTTGCTATTGCCAGGCTGGAAATTAAAAAAAGAATGTAATAACCAAAAACAAGTATTCTATACTGTATATTGATTCATAATATATGCGAATTGCAAGTTGACAATTAGTTGCTTCCGTTGCGATAAAGGCCCGTTCACAATAAGAATGATAACTGTAATTGTAACTTTAACAATAAAATCACTCTCGCTGACAAAGTTGCTGTCAATTTTAGTTTTCGCGAGCAAAATTCAGTGGTTTTAATTTAGAATCCACAAGATCAGGAATTTTTCATTAAAGCAAAAGAATTCCAAACACATTTCATGAATTCACGTTGGTCACTCGAATTCGGCGCATTGAGCCACTGTCTATTGTCAAGTTTCACAAAGCACAATAGACTTTTTCCTCGCAAAATTTCGCTAATGTCACAGCAGTCACACCACAGCAATAGTTTGGGAATTTAGAATCATTTTAGAATAAACAATGTTACCGTCCATCGGTGCAAGCGCTAATAATAGTTTTTTTCATATTGTGAACGGACCTTAACTCCGTCCAACGCATGCTCTAGTGCTTGGACAGATGATTTAATAAATGTGCTTCATCTGTTTAAAAAACAACGAAGATCTTGTATAACATGAATCAACCGTATGTTCATTTTACTGGTCAATTATTGCAGTTTGAAATAAACCTAAATACAAGTCACTTGAAAATTATATTTTGTCTTTTTTAATCCAAATGGTTTACTTAAAAAAAAAATTAAATACTATGGATTTTTATATTTTGAAGATGGAACTTTGGTTCTATGAAATACGAAATATTGAGAAAAAAAATCATTGTAATATTTTATTTTTAAAATGACTATTACTGCAGAGAAAAACATTTAACATCGCGGTGGTTTTTAACAAGTCACACAAAAGTAAAATGCACTCGTGATAACATCCAGCAGTTAGGTGATGTAACAGTTCTTACATCAGCGATTGAAAGGAATCCAAAAAATAAAAAATACAGTCAATGTGTTCAACTTGAACTAATTTCTTATGAAAAAAATAGACAGTGATTAATAAAGTACTATAAATGTTAACTGAACCTTAGTTCTTAGCTGGGCAACACAAAGTGTTCATGTTCACAGCATATGTACAAAACATCTGGTTCTGGTACAGTGTTTTCTTGGTCCTTTCTCAGCTCAAACGATATTTTGTACAAATGGCTGCAGTGATTCTAGCATTTAAACTAGATCTGTAAATAGCAACATGAACAACAAACCATCTGAGCTCAGTCAAAAAGTGCTGAAATGTCACTTTGTGCATGTTTCAGTCCAAACAGCATCTCGTTTGATCTCATTAGACTACAGCTAAAACAAAAGAGATTAAAATATTTAATATAATGGATTTGAAAATTACTTTAAAATGATGTAACATGAACGGCACACAGCTTCCGGATGTACTGCTTTATAAAAATGAATCTCTACATAATTAAATGAACAGAAGGACGCTCCTCACAGCACATCTGATCTACTTTGTCATATTGGAAGTTGCATAGCACCTATTGCAGGCTGAGCTATTACGAAATGTTGAACACGGAGCCTTATGTAACACTCATTACATTACAGGGTAATTTGTCTAACAAATACATCCTTTACAGATAAAACTGTGCCAAAAAGTATGTAAAAAATGAAAAGAAATGTAACATGGGGGAAAAAGTGAATATATGCCATATAATGGAATACACAGCAGTTAAACAGTTAAAATAAAATATTTTTTTCCAAATCATTTGACGAATTTCTCCAATTTGAAATGTTGTCATCAAACATTAAACATCCAAACATTTTTCACCTGATTCAATCCTTATTTTCACCTCTACACTATTGTACAAAAGACAACACTGAGGTCTAAGACACGGAGCAGCTAAAGTCGACATTTGCGAAAAAACCTGCAATGCCTCTCTACCTGAATTTCAGTGGGGCTACATCACAATTCAAGAGCAAAAGAAATTCAATTCACTCCTTCAGATTATGGTGTATCAAAGCTCTATGCAACTAGAAAATTCAGATCAACTGAATCCAAAAACCCAGCAGAGCTTAAGAACAAACGTCCTCCCTACTTCCAGGAGGGAAAATGCCCTGAAATGTTTACCAAAACACAAAAACAGGAGCATTTATCGTTATTTTTTTTTGTTGTTGCGAACTGCACGTACGCGTCGCTTCATTTTCAGTAGAAATGACATATTTGTAGTCTGCTGCCTGGGTCGTTTTTCCCTGGGCTGAAGAAGGGCGAGACCGGCTCATCAAAGTATGTTACAAAGTTATAGATGCGTTTCATAGTGACGGCGTCGAAGAAAGTAACGTGGCCCCGGTCGTAATCTAAGAAGATGCCGACACGAGGCGAGTTCCAATAGTCCGCCACGGGCACGCGCAAGTCTTCCTCGTTGGCGTACAGTCGGTCTTGAAGACACAGGCTCCAGTAGCCAGCAGAGGGCGAAAGGTTTACAAAACCTTTGCGGTTGCTATACTCGGTGGTGACGCCCAGATACCAGACCCCCTTGTCCCGTACGTCCACCTCCCAGTAGTGCTGCCCGCTGGAATACTGGGCGGTAGCGAGCACCCCGAAGAAACGGGTGAAACGCTGCGGCATGTCAGGCTCCTGGGAACGCATGCGGCCCTCCTCCACTTTGGTGTCAAAGTCGCTGATGGCCAATGATGGGTGAGCCGTGTCTAAATCCAGAGTCAGATTTTGAGGCACTGGAAAACAAGGAAGATCTGGTTAGCCGTTTAGCATGTAACTAAAAACTCACAAAAAGATTGTTGTAAAAACTATAAATAAAAATCATACTATTGTTATTAAGATAGTTGTTTCCATTACAGATTTGCACAAAACCTTTGGAATATTTTATAAATGTTGATAAAAAACTATTGCGAAATTACAGCATTTCCATTAACCGATGTTATGTGACTAAAACGTAATTTTTCCTCTCGCGATAAGTCATGGTGACGGATGTTGGTAGGTTTATGTATATATCGCAGCCACCAAACTAGCCATTATTTTTAATTGAAGGAGACGTAGGTGAGTATCTTTAGCAAAGCAGCGTGGAGAGCCACTTGCTCCAGTAGCCGTGTCAGAGCCTTAATGCACCGCAGACGCGTGCAGTGTAAATAAATTGTTATACAAGTATTAATGCCAAGGAAAGCCCTTTATACTCAAGAGCAGCCACGTATGAGGTGTTTTTGTGGAGGTTATAGTACACTGAAGAATGATCATGTGACTTTTACATATACCTGTAAATGCAAAAAAAAACTGTTATATACTGAAATATTTCTTTTTCGAATTGCCTGAAAAGCCACCTCATGCGAGCATAAAGGCCCGTTCACATCAAGCACGATAACTTTAAAGATAACGATTTAGTTCTAAAAATCGTTCTCAATATTAAAGAATAGCAGAGTCCACACTACAACTATAACGATAAAGGCACAGAGAAACGATATCGTTGGAATCACTTCCAGAACTATTTTTTCCAGCTGATGAACGATACAAACATTGACAGCCAATCAGAATCCATCCTTCTATAACGAGCTCGAGAATTTAAAGCGGCAGACGCATGTGCGCTTACAATAAACTGACGATATCGTTCGCTGGTGTGGACGCTAATATTGTTATCATTATAGTTATCGATCTTGGTGTGAACGGGGCTTAAATCCTTTTTATGTGATATATGGGTATTTTTGCAAAATTGACATGTTTCCATTGGGAGTATTTTCAATTCGCAATTTCAATTTGCGCAATTTGAAGGGTAATGTAAATGCAGTTACTGAGGGGGTAAAAATGTGTTCACATTAGTGACATTTTGGCTAAATTTCTAAAAAGTCCATTGTCAATAGTATAGTGACGTATGAAGCTACTTTCTGTTGGTCAACGAGACAAATTCATATGAAATTCCAAATATCATAGATTCCAACTGAAATGACTGGATTTCGCCGGCAAAAATTCTCCAAATAATGTGACCGCACCTTAATGCACCAACAGTACTTACTTGTGTGTAACACGTGCATCATCTTCTTCCACATGATGAGCTGAAATGGGCCTGTGAACTCTGAGAAATCTGGAGGAGAGGTAAAGGCCTGGACGCTGAGGTTTATGTGACAGGAGCTATGAGGGAAAAAAAACACATTATGAGAGACAAACACTAAAAATACCCAGATTATTAGCAGGGAAGATATAATCATAGCTAACAAGATAAGGAATTAAACAGATTTTTAAAAAAAAACTGATTTACATACCTTAAGTATGAATTACTGATACTCTGGGGAAAAAAAAGTTAAACATTAATAATAATAGTGTCACGCTGCAAAGTCATACAAGTCACAATTGTGAGAAGCAAATAAGCAATAACAATATATAAAAATACATGGCCAGATATAATGTAATGATATAATGATATATAATGTAATTACACCAAAGATGACAACTATAACAATAACTATACCCTTTTATTATTTGTTCTAATTCTATGAGAATAGAATTGTCCAGATTTCAACTATAACGATAATGACAGATGAAAGATATTGTTGGAATCACTTCCAGAACTTTTTTTCCAGCTGATGAATGTTAAAACCTCGACAGTCAATCAGAATCCATCCAACTTCAAATAGCTTGAGCATTTAAGGTGGCAAAACTTCAACATCCTTATAATAAATGCAGCATTATCATATTATGGATGACATTTTTGTGGACACTAATATAGTTATTGTTCTTTGTGTAACCTGTCATAAATATGTAAATACAAGAAATTGTTTTTCTTTTTTCTTTTTTTTACTGTAAATGGGCTTCAAATGAACAAATATGAAATTATAGGTTGTTCAAATTTATAATTCAGATTTCCATTTTATACTTACAACCATAAGTGTAGCATGTTTGTCACCATTTATTTATTAATAAAATTCAGAACATTTATAATAATAAAATTCATAATTCATGTAAACATATACTGCATATTTTGCAGCCACGTCAGTTCAGAAAATGTGGAAAATATTTCACCCAAAAATGAAAATTCTGAGGGTGAGTAATTAATGACAAAATTTTCATTTTTGGGTGAACTAACCCTTTAATGCCTTGTCATGACCAAAAGAGCGCAATTCTTCTTCTGAACTGAAAAAGTATATGTGTAATTCGAAGCATTTTATTTGATAACAGATGAGCTGTTTTGGACAGTGACTGGAGGTATGAAGTTCCTCACCTCGAAGTTAGCGCTGTCACTTAGCTGGTTTTGAATTTCAGTGATGGCTTTGTCCACTTTGGCTGCCTCGCTCTCCACCCGCTTCAGGTTGGCGTCGATCAGCCCGATAGTGGCTTCCGCTTCGACCTCCAACCTTTCCAACAGATCATCCTTCTCATCCAACAAAAACTGAACCAGGGCACCAACATCATCTTCGATCTTCTCCTTCAAGGCTTGTTTTTTGAGCTGTTGAGATGTAGATGTTTGAGATTCAGCATCAAGGCCTCCTCGTGGACCATAAATCCACAGCATGTTATATAACCACCAATTTTTGAGTCATTTGTATGTATGCAAAGTTAGCGTGGGAACAACTGAGCTTTCATACCTTGACATCAGTTTTGGCCTGCTCGTCTGTGCTCTTTACTCTCGTACACATGGACTTCTGCCAGTTCAGCTTGATGAGTCTCAGCTTCAGCTCACTCTGCATA